CCGGGGCCCGCTCCCGGCCCTCCCGCTGGGGGCACCCGCTCGGGCCGCCGGCCCGAGGCGCACGCCGGGGGCGCAGTGCGCGCAGGGCCCTCGCGGACGCCCGGGCACGCGGAACGGCTCCCTGGGCGCGCGCCCCCGAGGGAACAGCCCCCTCGTATGTTGCCCCCATCGCACTTAAGGACCGCATCCCACAAATAATTTCGAGCGGCCCCTAAGAGCCCCCCAAGAGGCCCCAGGGGAGCCCAAGACGCCGCCAAGGAGCTCCAAGACGCTCCCAAGAAGCCCCTAAGAGGCCCCCAAGACGGCCCCCAAAGGCCCCAAATAGCGCTCCAGGGCCGGCGGAATGAGCGAAGAGATTAAATAATTTCGAGCAGCCGGAAAAAGTGTCGAGACAGTGTCGAAACAATGTCGGACGAGTGCCCCCCAGGGCCCGACACGTGAAAACCCTCGAGTTATGGACTTTTTTGGGTGCTGGAGATTCTTTCTGGTGGTCGAGGCTAAAGTAGGCTGGAACATCAGAACCCCCGTCCCGCCCGTGAGAGGCCGGGGGTTGCTGAAGGTGCCCCCTGGCCCAACCCTGACCTTCCAGGAGGGCTAAAAAATAGCACCAGGACCTCGATATCTTACTTCCTGTCGAGGTTTTAGGCAGCCCAGATAGGTCTATAGGTCTGGATGGCATTTTTTCTGCACTCTGGAAGGTCAGGGAAGGTGGCCCCAGCTTCCCGCTCCACTTCCGACCACCCCGGGGGCCCCCCGGGGCCTCGTGGGGGGGTGCTCTGGCGGCCGTGGGGCCCTCCTTTCCCTGAGCTTCCAGGAGGGCAAGAAAACAGCACCAGGGCCTCGACATCTACATTCCTGTCGAGGTTCTAGGCAGTCCAGGTAGGTCTATGAGTCTGGAGGCTCTTAGCCCTCTGGAAAGTCAGGGAAGGTGCCCGCTGGCCCAGGGTGGCCCCCGCTTCCCGCTCCACTTCCGGACCCCCCCGTGGGGCCCCCCCGGGGCCTCGTGGGGGGTGCTCTGGCGGCCGTGGGCCCCCCCCGTTGAGCAGGGACCGACCGTCCCGGCATTCCTGTAGTCCTAATTACCACGAAATGTTCGTAGAACCAAAAATGTTCTAAGAACAAAAACAATTTTCTTAGAACGTCAACCCGATGTGAAACAAACGAGACAATCTCCGCCAGAAATGTTCTGGGAACGTTTCGTGGAAACCACGAAAAGTTCTTAGAACATTGTTTGGTAGGGCTATAGGCGAGTCGGGACGCCTCGCCACTGCTTCACCAAGGTGGCCCCCGCTTCCCGCTCCACTTCCGGACCCCCCCGTAGGGCCCCCCCGGGGCCTCGTGGGGGGTGCTCTGGCGGCCGTGGGGCCCCCCCTTTGAGCAGGGACCGACCGTCCCGGCATTCCTTTAGTCCCACCGCGAAATCTTCTTAGAACCCAAACATGTTCGAAAAACAAAAACAATGTTCTTAGAGCATAAACCCGATGTGTTGAAACGACACAATATAAAACAGACATGTTCTGAGAGCATTTCGTGGAAACCACAAAAGGTTCTTAGAACACTTGTTCGGTAGGACTACGTATAGGCGGGCGAGCCAGGACGCTTCGCCACTGCTTGACCCATGGAAACCCTGGGGGCACCTCGGGCCGGGAGCCCCTCTCGCAACACCCGAAGCTCTGGCAGGCCTGCTCGGCAGGCGGCCGGGCCCGTCTGCGAGGCTTTCTGCGCCTCCGGGGAGGCTGCCGGAAGCTCCTCGGAGGGCCGGCGGCCCTCCGAGCCCTCTGCGAAGGCTCGCCCCCGGGCGCGCCGCCAACAGTCTGCCCGAGCACCACCCCAGCCCTGTTCAAGAAGCGATGATCGGCCATATCTACGAGGGTGGGCGGCAAGTGAGGGGGGGAAAATGGAGAAGGAGAAGGCCGTCTCAGAAAGCGGGGCTTCTCAGAAGGCCGCCGGCCTCCTGAGAGGTTTCCCGTGTCTCTGGGGGAGGCTTCGCAACTTCTCAGAAGGCCGGGGGGCTTCTGAGCCTTCCGAGAAGGCCCGCCCCGTCTCACTTCCCCCCGGACTCGCCAACGCGAGGGTGGCATGAGAAGCGGCCAGAAATCCGTCCGGGGGAAGTCCGAAGCGCAATCGCCACTCGCGGGAAATGACAAGCAGGCGGACACTCTCTGCGAGGGGGTTCTGAGCGAAGTGGCCACTGCCCGATGGCATGGCAAAAATTCTGATCGCCCTGAAGGGCGATCGGACACTTTGTGTTGAGAACGTTTTGCGCGGAATGCTACGTTGTCATGCGGATCCCATGCAACCTGGAAAATACTAGCCCGAGTGGAATGTTGTACTGGGGCCCCACGGCCGAACGGGAGGCCGGCCATGTATTCCTCGATCCCCGCAGTCAGCATATGTTTGGTCCAGCGAGTTGTAGCCAATGAAGCTCAGACTGAGGCAATCCATCGGTCGGCGTCAACTGGCCACCTCGCTGATTCTGTTTGGGCCCAGGACCGGCTGCACGGAACAGTGACAACAGGCGAGAATGGCCTTTGGAGCGCTGCTTTGGGGGGGCTGCTGGGTACCGAATCCAAGCGCGCCAGCCAGTGCTGGAGGGACCCCTGCAGGTCACTCTGGGGAAGGGTCACTCTTTAGCGTAGCCAGGATCGGCCAGGATCGGTGCAGTAGTCAGTTGACACCTCTCGCGCTTCTCCTGCTCCTCCTCCTCCTCCTCCTCCTCCTCCTCCTCCTCTTCCTCCTCCCCCTTCCCTTCCTCGAGAACCGGAAGGATAGCCTCCAGGGGCGACTGAAATCTTCGGAACATCGCCGTGGACCGCTAAGAAGCAAGAAGCAAACCCAGAGCCGATACACTAGAACCCTCAAGAGGCTCGGTCTTCCTCTCATCGTCCTCCTCCTAAAAAACCTTCTCCTCCTCCTCCGCCGCCGCCTCGCCCTCGTCCGCCTCACCGTCGTCCTCCTCCTGGACATTCCCCTAATCTTCCCCATTCCTCTGCTCCTCCATCCTCCTCCTACGCTTCTTTCTGAGACTCCGCACACTGCTTCTCATCTTCCTCCTCCTCCTCCTCCCTCTCCTCCTATTCATCCTACTCCTCATCTCCATCATCATCATCATCATCATCATCATCATCATCAGCAGCAGCAGCATCATCACCACACCACCACCACCACCACCACCACCACCATCATCATCATCAGCATCAGCATCAGCATCAGCATCAGCATCAGCATCATCATCATCATCGTCGTCGTCGTCATCATCACCATCATCATTCATCACAATCATAATCCTCCTCATCATTATCATCATCACCATCATCATCATCATCATCATCAGCATTATCATAATATACATCATGAACATCATCATCATCAGATTCATCCTCACCATGATCGTCATCATCAGCAGCATCATCATAATCGTTACCATCAGCATCAGCATCATCATCAACATCAGCATCTTCATCCTCCTCCTCATCCTCGTCCTCATCCTCATCATCATCCTCATCGTCATCCTCATTCACATCCACATCCACATCATCATACTCATCATCATCCTCGTCCTCGTCCTCTACTCATCTTCATCCTCATCAGCATCAGCATCAGCTCAACATCAGCATCAGTATCAGCATCATCATTATCATCGTCGTCGGCATCATCATCAACAGCATGAGCATCGGCATCAGCATCATCGTCATCAGCATAATCATCACCATCACCATCACCATCATCATCACCATCAGCATCATCAACACCATCATCAACCTCATCAGTATCTATCAACATCATCAGCATCAACATCATCATCAACATCGTCATCTCCATCACCATCACCATCACCATCATCATCATCATCATCATCATCATCATCAGAATCCCGGAGCGTTCTCCAGGTCATCCCCCTCCCTTCCTCCTCTCCTCCTTCCTCATCCTCACCTCCTCCCCCCTTCCTCCTGTCCTTCTCCTACTCCTCCTCCTCATTCTGCGTTTGCTCCTCCTCCTTCTCCGCATCTCCCTTCTCATCCCCATTTCTTCTTCATCTCTGACATCCTCCTCCTCCTCCTCCTCCTCGAAGATCGGCCCAACACTTCTCCTGGTGTGACCAGAACCCCGAGGAGGAGCCCAGCGCCTTGGCGACGAGGCCCCTAATGTGGCGAGAGAAATGCCCGACAACCTGTAGCCTCCTTGGGTCACAGCGGGGGCAGTATTGGATATGGTAGCTTTGGGCGCCAAGATGGGCTCGATTGATGTGTGTATATATATATATATATATATATATATATAAATAAAAATGTATCACGAGTGGCGGACGTATCCGTATTCACGCCCTCGCGGTCTGGATTATGAGGCGCGATGCCGTGGATACGCGGCCGCATGGATACATTCCGCACGGGGCCCACGAGGCTGTGAATACGGATGGTTTTTCACCCATATAGGGCTGACCTGGCTTTTGCGTAGGTTGTAAGTGCCCAGGGAGGGTGTGACGCCGACGTGGAGAAAATCGGGCTCCACACCGAGCCGCATCGGCGATGCATCGGCGATGCGGCGCAATCCTCAGACCCCACCTACTGGAGCAGGGACCGACCGTCCCGGCATTCCTATAGTCATACAACGAAATGCTCTAAGAACCCAGAAATGTTCTAAGAACAGAAGCAATGTTCTTAGAACATAAGCCCGATGCGCTGAAACAAGACAGCCCCAGCCAGAAAGGTTCTGATCCACCCCCCCCTAGTCATCACCCCCCGCTTTGCCGCCCCCGGAAATGCCTGGGTCCGATCCAGCACCCCCCCCCCACCCCCAGGAGAGCCCAGAATCGAATCGATAAGTCGGATCGGCGATCGAAATGAATCGGATCGGCGGAAATCGACAGCCGAGTCGGGGCAAGTCGAATCGGCGGAAATCGACAGGCTAGTATGCCTCCAATAAGAAATCGGAACCCAAATCGGAATCCCAGGTCGAATCGAATCGGAATCGGAAGCCATCGAAATCGAATCGAATCGAATCGGAGGAATCGAAACGAGCCCTGCCCCACCCCCCCACGGCGCCGCCGCCCAGTCGCGGCGCGGCGGGCGCGGGCGCGTCAGCGCCGCTCCCGGGACAGCTTGCTGAGGCACAGCCAGGCGAGGGCGTGCAGCGCCGCGCTGTGCGCCAGGAGCCCCAGCACCTGAGGACGGAAGGCGGGCAGGAGCTCGGGCCGCGAGATCGGATCGAATCGATGGCTCCTCCTCCTCCTCCTCCTCCTCCTCCCTCCTCCTCCTCCTCCTCCTCCCTCCTCCTCCTCCTCCTCCCTCCTCCTCCTCCTCCTCCTCTCTCCCCCTCCTCCTCCTCCTCCTCCTCCTCCTCCTCCTCCTCCTGCTTCTCCTCCCACATTCGCCCACGAATCAATCGCTCTGGGAGGCCTCCTAAATGGGGTCGCGCAGATGGGGACGGAAGATCGCGCCGCAGGGGCGATGCATCGCCGACGTCGGCGACGCGTCGGCGACGCAGCGTGGAGAAAATCGGGCTCCGCATCGAAATCGGGCTCCGCATCGAGCCGCATCTCGCATCTCCGGTGCATTGGGGATGCGGCGCGATTCTCCGACCCCATCCACTCCGACCCCATCTAGGAGGCCTGGAATCATGGATTTGACACGTGGGCGCGGGTGGGGCCAGAGCCGCCTGATTGGACGACGGTGCGCGTCGGACTTGGCATGGAACCGGGACCCGTCGCCACTTCGTGCGCCTTCTGACCCATGTCTGGTGACCCCCATGCTTGAGAGCCGCCCCCCTGCTACACCCCGCGGAACAAGGGGGCACGAGGAGGGGAGCCGGTTCATGGGTTTGGGAGCATCGACCTGGCATCGGGCCATCGGGACCTTGTCGGCGATGAATGGGCCATCGGGGATCGATGCCTTCCCCCCTAGAGCCAGTTCCCTGCTAACGTTGCCCCCCGGCAATTGGGTCATGAATCGTTTGTTCTGGACGGTCCAGGCACCCCAGGAATGCTCTCGGCGAGGCGCAGCCGAGGAAAAGCATCCCGAGGCTGTAAAACCGCGTCGAGGCGACGACCACGTCAGAAAAGACATGGCCCAGACCCCCGACGTCATGTTTTCTTCATGACGCGACCCTCAGAGGTCTGGAACCATTCCCAGGGACCGGTTTTTCATCGTGAATTTTTCTCGAAGGTCCTGAACGCTGGTAGTGGCCCCAAAAGCCGAAAATAGCCAAAACCCTCCCGTCGTTGCGCCGGTCGCAACGCGAGGGGGCCTAAGAATTTCGAAGCTCCGAACGTCGTTCCCGACCCGATGCGCACCGCCGAGACTCCACCTCTGCTGTCGCAGGCGGGAGGCGCGCGGCGGCGCCAGGGGGGCGTCGGGAGTTACTGCATGGGGGGGCCAAGTCGTCGGAGAGGGAAAGGGGAAAAGGCATACCTTTCGTGCATCGCCGGGGCCACAGGAGGGCCCTGGCGTTTTAGGCTTGTTGTTGTGGTTGATGGCGACGCGGTGCCTGTGCCGTGGACGCCCTCGGCCGGAGGCCGAGAAAGTAGTTGGAGGTGTAGAAAATGCGGCCAGACGTCGCCCTAAGCCACACCCAGCCAGAGGCAAAAGTGGGCGTTTTCGCACAGTTTCGGGCCCCAGGGCCCTCGAATATCGATTTTGCACGAAAAATGACGCAGAAAAATTGGGTCCAGGGCTCCACACGTGATTTTTGGCGATGTAGTATGTTTTTTTTGCAACGTCGGATCTCAAGGGGGGCCCCTCTTCTTTCGCCAGTCGCGATGATTGTCGCAAGGACCGCCAAAAGTCTAGGCCTCTTCTCCATATGAGCGGTGTCTCATCCCGAGTTGTATCTCGAAGTTCTTGGTGCCCTGTGAAGATCCTGGGGAAAACCCAGACTGGCCAAAATTCTTCCGGTCGCAATGCTTTGGGGCAGCTCTGTTCGCGCTTCGCGCTGCGCCCAGCGCGAAACGCGAGCAAATTCGCGGTCTCGCGCCGCCCCCCCCCCCTTGGAGAAATGGAAAACGAAAACGAGGACGAGGACGAAAGTGGTTGTGATCGTGGAGATGATGCTGCGGAAAATGGTGATACATGATGCTGATGACGACGGCGATGGTGATGATGATGATGATAAAAATGCTGATAATGGCAGCGATGCTGATGATGATGATGATGATGATGAGGATGATGATGATGATGACGATGATGATGCTGATGATGATGATGCGGATGACGATGATGAGGGTGATGATTGTCCCCGGCGCAACAATGGCAATGACCCAGGATAGCCAACGCGAGTCGTCCACGCAAGTCCAATGTCAGCCAGCGGGCGCAGTCGGGCATGCGTTAAATGTAAACATATGCAACTCCAGTTTAAGGCTTCTGGCGCCATGGAAGCCGAACCGCCGCCACGAGTGGACGCCGAGGCATAAAGCAGGCAAGCGGCAGCAGAAAGGGAGGACGGAAGGGGGACCGGACAATCGATCAAGGCCAAAACCCGCAACTAAACAAGTCACCCGAGCAGTCTCGAGGCGGCTGGTGAGGACAAGCTGCGGCGGCGGGCGGGCAAGGCGTCCTGAACTTGTCCCGACCTCGTGCACGGCCGCAGGCAGCACTAGTAGCGACGAGTCGACAAGGGATGACCCAGCTTAGTCGCATCAGCTGAGCTGCGCTAGAGGGTGCTGGACCGCCCGAGCTCCAACGCGACACAGAGCGGAACTCAAACTCATTCGACTACCCGGCTGTATCAAGAAAGAGAGCGGGCCGTGCGGCGGACGGCACGGACTCCATCAAACTGCAGCTCCACGAGAGGGGCAGCACCGAGAGCCCCAAAGAGGGCAAGCGGCAGCGGCCAAAACACCCGAGGACCGAAGGAGGAACCCCAGGGCCAACGAAGGGAGGAAGGACGGCCCACGGACCGAGCAGAGAAAGGAGGAGGCGGACCACAGGACCACTTTTCGAAAAAGAAGACCACCAAAATCACGGGCAACCAACCACCAGCATTGCGAAGATACTGGACAGCAACCCGAATCGCTGGATGCCTCTGCATCAGAAGACGTAAATGGCCCTCGAAGACTTGCGAAGGTGCCGCACGACCGAGAGCAGGCCGAAAAGGGAATTGCGAGTGTGTGTGTGTGTGTGCGTGTGTGAGAACAAGTTGTGTCGACATGATGATGATGATGATGATGATGATGATGATGATGATGATGATGATGATGATGATGATGATGCTGTTGTTGTTGTTGGTGTTGTTGTTGGTGTTGTTGTTGTTGCTATTGTTGGAGTTGTTGTTGTTGTTGTTGTTATTGTTGTTGGAGGTGTTGTTGTTGTTGGTGTTGTTGTTGCTGTTGTTGTTGCTGTTGTTGTTGTTGCTGTTGTTTTCCCAGGGCCAGTTTGCCATCCCGACTCGTTCTCTGACGGCCTCGAGGTCCCAGCGAGGGCCCCGGAGGCCGCAAAGTGGGAACAAGCAAGCCCGTCGAGATCTTGTCCATGGCGTTGCAGGTCTGGGGTCGCGATTTCTCCGCAACGACAGGAGGAGGAGGAGGAGGAGGAGGAACAGGAGGAGAAGGAGGAGGAGGAGAGGAGGAGGAGGAGGAGAAGGAGGAGGGAGGGGGGGGGGAGGAGGGGGAGGGGGAGGGGGAGGGGGAGGGGGAGGGGAAGGGGGAGGGGGAGGAGGAGGAGGAGGAGGAGGAGGAGGAGGAGGAGGAGGAGGAGGAGGAGGAGGAGGAGGGGAGGAGAGGAGGAGACGAGGAGGAGGAGGAGGAGGAGGAGGAGGAGGAGGAGGAGGAGGAGGAGGAGGGGGGGGGGGGAGGAGGTGCGCGGTGGCGGCAAGAGAAGGCGGCGCAGAGGAGAGCGCGCACCGCGGGCCACACCGCCGCGGGCTCGTCCAGCCCGATGCACTCCAGCGCCTCGCGGCCGCTGGAGACCATGCCCGTGACGCACGGGTCCGCGCAGGGCAGCACCTGCAGGCCGAGCGGCGCACTGGGCAGGCTCGGGATCGAGGAGGCTCGAGGAGAATCGCGGAGGAGCAGGATCGAAGATCGAAGAGGATCGAGGCTCCAGGAGGAGGACCGAGGAGGAGGATCGAGGAGGACCGAAGATCAGAACGGACCAGGGGTCCGCGGAAGGGCCTCGTCGGCCGCAAGCCCTTCACCATAAATTCCTCCTCCTCCTCCTCCTTCTCCTCCTGTGCGCTGAGCGCTGTGCGCTGTAGGCATGAGAGCCTCCTCAGTCCCGTTCCCTTCGCAAGAACTCCTCCCTGTCGCAACCCGAGACGGGTCGGCAGGGCAGGCCGGGCGCGTCGCCAGGGACTTATCCTCACCACTTCAGATCCTGAAGCGTGAGCTTCGCAGCAGCTTCACGGAGGGAGGGCGGGCCGTCTCCAACACGTGGTCATCGCCTTAGCGCAACGCGCTCCTTCGCCTCGAGAGTGCGTGCTTGCGTTTCACGGACGGATCGCGGGCCCTCTTTCAGGATGTGGCCCTCGCCTGCGCGCCGCGCCCACCCGCTCTCAGAATGTGCTAAGAGCTCCACGGACGGAGGGCGGCCCATTTCCAGAGTGCGACTCTCGCCGTCGCGCCGCGCACGCTCGCCCTAACCCCTTGAAGGATTCGTGCGGCTGGCGCCCACGAGCCAGTGTTCTGGAAGAGTTTAGGATGGTCAAGGCGCGACAATCATGCTGATTCGCGGTGTTGACCTCCCAGCATTAGTGCCCTGGCACGATTTAGGACCGCCAGGTCGCAACAGTAACGTTCATTCGCGGCGTTGAAGTCCCAGGAGTGGTGCTTTGGCACTGTTGACTTTCTTCCAGACGGTTGTCATCAAGCGGGGCTCTTCCCGCGCTGATCAATACATCCTTTCAACTAGGAGCATGTGGAGAGGAAACTTGGAGGGAATGTTTATTGCAACATGGCTGATGAATCTTGGGTTTGTACTGGTCCTCCGCCTCCTCCACCTCCTCGTCGTCCTCCTCCTCCTCTTCCTCCTCCTTCTCCTCCTCCTCCTCGTGGGAACAGCATGCACGCGGGCACGTCTAGCTCCGATGCTAGGGCCCTCTGGGGAGAAGGGTGGGCCAGCTACCCAACTGCCTCCCCCGACTCGTCTGGCCAAACCTTCCGAACTCATCCCACTCTCCCTCCTGGCCATGCCACGACGGATCCGTCCTTGACGGCCGCGCGGCCCGATGACGGGCCCCAGGGGCCGACGCCGACTTACAACGAGGGGGCCGAAGCGTCACGCCTTTGGCCCCCGCAGGGCGTCCCAGAGCTGAGAAGGAGGGGGCACGCCCTCCGAGAAGCCCTTGCCATCGCTCGGACGCCCATCCCCCGTGCAGCTGAGAGGGTGGCGGCCCCCGAGGGGGGAGACCTCCCGGGAAGCTCCCCACGGGGCAGCCCAGAGACTCGGGGCGGCGGGCGGCGGCCGCACCGGGACGGCACCCCTGGGAGCGGCCATCCGCGCAGTGGTGCTGGGCCGAGAAGAGAGAGAGGAGGGGGAAGGGAAGGAGCAGGCCGGACGAATGACAACTGAGGTTAGGAGACGGATGAACAGAAGGGCCCAGGGGCACACAAATAGCTGGACAAAAACCCAGGATTCCCAATTGTTTTCCAATTTTTTCTGGGCTTCCGTCTTCCCCCCCTCTTTCCCCATACTTCCCTGGACGTCGACGAGTCCTTGTGCATTTGCACGTTGTTTCCCCCTCCTGAGTGTAAAGCAAGGCGGATCGCCCGCGCGGGCCCTGGCCTCGAGCTCAGGCCCGGCGGTGCCGGGGGGGCGGCACCGACGGGTGGGGGGTGCTAGCCTATCCGAGAGAGAGAGCCGGCGACTCCGAGGGGTGTGGTTTGCAAAGGGTGTGGCTTGCAGTCGGCACCCCCTGGGGTGCGGGCGAGGACCTCGACAGAGCTCCCTGCCGCGCCCCGAGCGCCCCGCGGAGGCCCGGCGAGGACGGCGCCCCGACCACGGGCGTAAGACCCTGCCCTCTGCAAGTGGCCGAGACGAGGGAGAAGCGTGAGGAGGTCGAGTCGCCCAGGGAGGAGCGAACACTCACCCGGCTGCTCCCCTCCTTCGGGGGGAGGAGGAGGAGGAGGAGGAGGAGGAGGAGAAGGAGGAGGAGGAGGAGGAGGAGGAGAAGGAAAAAACGGAGAGGAGGAGGAGGTAAGGAGGGAGGAGAAGGAGGAGGAGGAGGAGGAGGAGGAGGAGGAGGGAGGAGGAGGAGGAGGAGGAGGAGGAGGAGGAGGAGGAGGAGGAGGAGGAGGAGATTAGGGAGGAGGGGAGAGGAGGAGGAGCACGGGCGCCGCCGAGCTCCGCATCTCCCCCCCCCCCTCCCGCAGGCCCGGTTGCTCCATACTTAGCCCTGCGGGTCTCGTGGCATAGCTGCTGGCCGCGGGGCCGGGGCGCGGCCGCAGATGAAGGGGCCGTTGGACACACAAATAAATACGCACAAATAAAACTATTCCCCATATTTTCCTATATTTTCTGGGTTTCTGTCTTCCCAACCACTTCCCATATTTTCCCATATTTTCTGGGGAATCGAGGATTAATTGTGTCTGTGTGTTGCTTTTCCTCCCGAGCAGAGGGCGCGCCGGAGGAATTCCAAGGCCGGCCCACTCTGCCACGGCAGGCCCGCGTCGTGCCTGCGCCGGCGGCGCTGGCGCCCGACGCCGCGGGGGTCGTGCAGCCTTCCCCGCCTCTTTCTCCTCCTCCTCCTCCTCCTCCTCCTCCTCCTCCTACTCCTCCTCATTCTCTTTCTCCTCCTTCGCATCCCTTCCGGAGCCGGTCCCCCCCCCCCACCCCAAGCGTTGCGGCTGAGAGGGTGGCAGCCCCCGACCCTGACCTTCCAGGAGGGCTAACAAATAGTACCAGGACCTCGATAGCTATAATTCCTGCCGAGGTTTTAGGCAGCCCAGATAGGTCTATGGGTCCGGAGGGCTATTTTTTTAGCACTCTGGAAGGTCAGGGTTGAGGACGCCGCGTCCGAAACGTAGGATCGCTCACCAACGACCAGCGCTGGGTCGCCAGCGGCGCTCTGCGGCGAACGCCGGCGGCAGGGCCGTCGGCGGCCGGCACGACGCGACGCGAATCTGCCGTGCGCACTCTCGAGCCGTCGGATGCTGCAGATCCCCGACGCCGCGATGTCCTTCTCATGGGGGAACCCTGGACGTCTGAGCTCATTCCTAGCTAGGGCCAGCTGTTCATCCCGAAAAGCTTCTTGACAGCGCCTGGGCCCAACAAAGGCCCCCAAAATGCCAAAGAGTGGCAACAAGCCTTAGGCCTTGATTTTATGCACGACGCCCGGGTCTGAGGGGATCTCTGGTCGGGCGTGATCACCCAGGCTGAGGACAAACCAAACTCAACCAATTTAGAGAAAATTGCGCTGCCGTTTTTCGGGGGAGTAAGGCCACGACCAAGGCCGCGACAGCTCCCAAGCCCAGCGCAGCCCAAATCTGGCTTTGCAGGATCCTGCAGGATCGGGCGCTCTAGCTGAGCCCCGCTTGCGCTGACACCCCCGTTGCCTGCCGGCTGACCCGAGGGCTCCTGACCCAGATCCCCTGACATCCGCCGATGCGACTTTTCCGTCCGCTGCCTCTCAGAGGTCCCGACCTCTAGTCGGGAGCGGCCAAGAGGGGGGTGTCCAAGAGGAGGGGGTGCAAATCATGACCGGCGGCATGTGCGCGGCCCAGCGGGGGGCCAGGGACGTAATGAAATAAGAAGAGGCGCCATGAAATCTGAGGAAAAATCATGGCCCACGCCATGATATCCACCCCCCCCTAGTCATCACCCCTCTCTTTTCCGCCCCCGATCTAGTGGTAGCCTGTCGTCCCAGATCGGTTTCGCATGGCCCGGGGGCCCGATGACGCGCCCCATGAGGCCGAAACCGAAGAAAGAAATCCCGGGATACAAGAAGACGGGTCGTCGGAGACCGCGGTCCGATAGGGGATCCTGCAGGGCCCCCGGCCACTCGGCGGCTCCCAGACGGGGGTGGCGCCCCGGCGGGGGGGGGGGGGCTTCTGAGAGGGCGCGCGGGGCTTTCAAGATTCCCCCCTGCCTTCCGAGAAGCCCCGCCGCCCTATTAGAGGCCCACCCCTCTTGCGCCACCCCCTTGTGGGCGCCGCCAACTCGGATCACCGCAGTGGTTGCTAAGTGGATCGGGGGCTATGGGTGGATGCGAAGGTGGCGCCTATCTGGCCGAAATGGGTCAGGTGGCTTCGAGGGGGAAGGGTCCAGGCTAAGTGGACTCCGCTCCGCTCACTCAACGGAGACAGCGAACCCAACCAAGCCACTCTTAGGGCACTCTCAACCCACCTAGAAGCTAGGTTGGGCCAGATATAAGCCACCTCGGCATCCACTTACAACCCCCTTATCCACATAGCAACCCTCGCGGGATCCGAGAAGACCCCCCCACCCCCCACCGTGGCGCCTCCTCCAGCACGCGCGTGGCCGCGTCCCGCAAGCTCCGCTGCCGCAACCACCAGGGCGCCGCGCCGAGCTGGCTCCCGGCGCCGTCCCAAGCGGCCCCAGCCCCGACCTGGCTGGGCCCGGCGGTGGGGGGGCAGCAACTCAGCGCCACCCTGACCTCCTCCTCCTCCTCCTGCTCCTCCTCCTCCTCCTCCTCCTCCTCCTCCTGCTCCTTCTCCTCCCTCTCCTCCTCCTGTCCCTTCCTTCGAAGCGTTCCCCCGACGGGTTCCGCGACGGCTGGGGAACACATAGTCCACTAGGGCCGCATGAGCGTTTCCAAAAAGCAGGGGGCGGCGGTGATTCGCGGAACACGTCTTCGATTCGTCGCCACCCTGATGGACGCTCCGGGGCCCACTTGAATCACCGTGGCGGCTGCTATGCACGAGAGCCCCAAGCGGCGTAGAGGGGATTTAGCACAACTCCTCTAAGTGGGCGGAGCATCCCTAGTCCACCTAAGAGAGGTCGAAACTTCCAGTGAGCGCGATTTGGAAACAAAGAAATACGTTAGAAGCCATGTATATGTATAACGAATAACGTACAAACCTGCGTTGGCAGTTCGCGCCATGCACCTTGATCATTGAAGTTGGGTATGCAGGCGGAATGGCGGAATGGCAAGAACGTCAAACAGACAGTTTAGCGATAACTCCTTGGTGCCTTTTTCCGGCATCGCCGTTACAATGATGTTATTCGGCATCCTTCCTCCATGTATATGTTCCCTCATTCTCTCCCTATCCTGCGAATTCTTCCCCATCCTCCTCAGCTCGTGTTGCGGAGGCTCCTCCTTGGAGAGCCTCTGGGGACCTCACGTGAGTTGTTCAGGCTTCTTGAGCCCTTCTGGAGGCCTCCTGGGCGTCTTCTGGGGGCCTCTGGGGGTCTCCGCGGGCCACCCGGACTGCCTGGAAGCCCCTTCGGGAGGGTGTTGGGGCGATTCTCGAGCCTCCCAGAAGACTGAAGAACAGGGCATTCCCAAAATCATGCAACAACCTTGCAAGCACAACTCAGCGTTTTTCTGCGTTTGGGAAGCCTCTTGGGGGTCTGTTTGGGTCGACTTCTGGCGTCTGGTGGGCGTCTGGGGCCGCTTGGAGCCCTCGGGGGGTCCTTCGGCCGCCTTCCTCACCGATTTGGGCCCGTTGACAAGGCCCAGCAGGGGCTTCCAGGAGCTCTGCAACGCCTGGGGGGCTTCCTGCAGAGGCGTCCACGGGGTCCCGAGGACCACGGATCCAAGGGGTCCAGATCTGAGGGTCCCGGGGCCCGGGACTCGGGGGGTTCGTTTTCGGGGGAGGGGGGTCATGGCAACTAGAAGCATCAACATGGGCATATACACAAACATATATATATATATATATATATATATATATATTATAGGTGTGTATATATATGTACATGTATGTAGATGTACATGCTCATGTCAGATGCATGCACACATAAATACATATGTATGTACTTATATACATGTGTGTATGTGTCATGCGTGTATGTGTATGAACGTATGCATTTACGTATGTATGGCTGTTTGCATGTATGTATGTATGTTTGCATGTATGTATGTATGCATGCATGTTTGTATACATGTATGTATGTATGTATGTATGCTGCATACACGCATGAATGCATGCATGCATGCATGCATGGATGCATGCATAGATGTATGTATGTATGCATGCATGCATGCATGCATGCATGTATGTATGTATGTACGTATAGATGTATGTATGTATGTATTTGCGTACGCATGCATGTATGTTTGTATGCATGTGCGTATGTAAATATGCATGTATGTAGGTATGTGTGCATATGTGTGAATGCATGAATACATGCATGTATACATGTATGAGCGTATGGCATGCATGCATGCATGCTGCATGTAAGTCTGCGTGTACGCATGTACGCATGCCTGCGTGCATGTAGGTACGTCTGTATGTATGTATGTATGTATGTATGTATGTATGTATGTATGTATGTATGTATGCGTGCATACAAGCATGCATGCATGCATGCATGCATGCATGCATGCATGCATGTATGTATGTATGTATGTATGTATGTATGTATGTATTTATGTGTGTATGTGTGTATGTATCGATCCATGCATGTAAAGAAAACGTGCGCCACCGTGCCTTCAGCACTTCGTGGCGTGCCCTGAGGCTCCTGCCGCCCGGAAGAGGTGCCAGAGTGCAACGGCTCTTCCAAAGCCCGGACCCCCAGCTTCCCGGGCGCTGCCGGGCCCTCCTGCGCGCTACTGGGAGGTGTCGCGTGGCCCAGCCTGGGACCGTGACCCCGCCCAACAGGCCCCCAAAAAGGCCCCCGGAGGCCCCGAGAAGCCCCCGAGACGGTCGAGGAGCTCTCCAGGATGCCCACGACGGCCCCCCGGACGGTCCAAGAGGCCTCCAGGCCCCCAGAGGATTCCAAGAGGCCCCCCAATAGTGCCCCAAGAGGCAGAATTCATTTGTTTTCCTGAAGTCGCTGGAAAGAATTCAGCGCTCACGCCTTTCGGTTTCCCGACGCTCCAAAACGGCCCACGAGGCCCCAAGATCGCCCCAAGACAACCCCAAATAGGGCCCCAAGACGGCTAAAGGTGGCCCTGATACGGCCGAAGAGACGCCCAAGACGGCCCAGGAGTGCCCAAAGACAACCCCAAGAGGGAGCCCAGATGGGGAACCCAAAAGGATATTTCGAGCCCTCGGCCCCGAGGAATCCCCAAGATGCCCCAAGAGGCCCCCAAGAGGCCCCAAGAGGCCCCCAAGAGGTCCCAAGATGCCCCCAAGAGGCGCCCAAAATGTCCCCAAGAGGCCCACAAACTGCTCCCAAAAGGCCACCGAAAGCGCTCCGAAAAGACCCAAACAACATCCTTGAACACTCTGACCCACAACCAGGCACGGTGGCCGGATGGGCAAAAGGCCACTCGACATAAATAGATTAACGAATTTCTCCGGCGGAATGACCCCACATGATTGTAATCTTCTCGGCTCATCTGAGGGACGAGGAGGAGGAAACTAGAGGAGGAGGAGGAGGAAGAGGAGGAGGAGGAGGAGGTGGAGGGAACCATAGAAAAAGGAGGAAGGAGTGAGGGAGGGAGGGGGACCAGACGCAAACTATGGAACGGATACCCGCCCGTCCACTCACGCGCAATACTATAAAAAAAACGGGACTCGTGGGGCTCACGTGCGACGGCACGACTTGCTCGCACCGGCAGACTTGTTCGCACCGGCGTTGCGCACTTCCCCTCGGCAGGCCGCTCGCGCAAGCAGACTTGTTCTTACCGGCGTTGCGCGCTTCGGGGCGGAAGCCCAGGTTCTACTAAGTCTAGTGGAGCCTGGCGGATACAATACAGATCTGTAAAACGAAAAGGAGGAGGAGACGGACTGACTGACTTCCCTGGGCGAACGAAGGTTCGAATAGTCCGACTACTACCTTAGGACTCGCTGGGCGGCATGCCTGAACGGCTGCAACTTTGCTACACACTGGCACTGGTGAAAAACACTCGGGCCCCCAGGCAACCCACAGGGTATGAGTACAGGGCGCTAGGGAGGCGTCCCACATGATAGTTTCACCAAAGAGACGTGACGCAACCTGCACCTCACCCTATAGCGCGGGGCCCCCAACGGCATTCCGCACCACGGGGCTAAGAGCGAGGCAGCTCCGAGCCTCTCCCTTGCGCAGGGAGACGATTTTGCCTCCCCCTATATTTACCTTTGGCCCGTCCCTTAAAACGCGGCTGAAGTTTAGCTGTCGGGATGAGGCGGCCCCGGGGATCATCCAGAGCAGATTCAGAGAGGGGGGAAGTGAAGGAAGCGACCACTGCTTCTCTGCTCGCGAGGCATCTAGACACCAACTCATTCAGACGAATGACTATCAGCAAGGCTTATCATCCTCCTCCTTTCCGTCTCGCATAGTTGGGCTCCAGCTTGTTCAAGAGCGCTCGCGCGTCCCTCTCCAAAGCCCCGCGCGGGGTTGCCCCCACCAGAATCTCCCCTCCGTGCCTGACGATATCCGAGCGAATGGTGCCGTCGAGCTCCTGAGCGATCGTCGTAGTCGAGAGAGCCCGCTGCAGCCGTACCTTGCCCTCCGCGCGCTTGGACTTCTTCTTGGCCTATTTGCCCTGCGGACGCCGAGTCCAGGAGCACGTGCTTCATGATGTTGTCGGTCCAGTACTTGGTCAGCGTGTCTCTCGCCTGGCCGGCCTCGGTACTCGCGAGGAGCGCCCTGATGAAGTCCTTCCAGACGTGTGGATGTTGGCTGCTCAGCTTCGCCGCGTCCACCGCGTCGTCCTCCTTCGTTTTTTCCTTCGGATCCATCGCCGCCTTGCGGTAGTTCTCGCCCGCCTGGATGGCCGCCTCGGCGCAAGGAGCCGTGATCGGAATGATCGCCGTGACGAAGACCACGCTGATGACCGACCTGAGGTCTCCCGCCAGGCTGAGCACGAGCTTGGCGAGAATGAGCACGATTTGCTGGACGAATTGAGATTTGGTGGCGCCTTTGCCTGCTGCTCCTGTGGCCTGCTCCACCAGCTCCTGCGGTTTCGCCTGCTTGGCGTCCGAGGCGCTTGCTCTCCTGCCGCGGGTCTCTTGTTGCTCGGTAGTCCCCGGCGCACCTGAGCGCGGCCTGCCTCCTTCATCCACGGAGGCTCCTCTGCGTCCTGCTCCATGTCGTCCACTTCGGCCACGCGAAATGTGATTGCCCACAGTTGCGGGCGCGCGAATATCAGGAATGAAAGGCAGATGGCGAGCGAGGTGATCTCGAAGCTCGAGCCAAGAAAGCAGCTACATAATCACATCCAGGACAATGTAGCGTTTTGGGCTCTTGCGCAGGGAAGAGTGCTCGAGCGAGGTCAACCGCGCAATTTCATCTCTGAACAGAGCGAGCTAAGCGCCGACGCGTTGTGACCTTTGCGGCGAAGACCGTCTCACACAAGACGCAGACGTTCGTCGGGGTTATAGATCGAACAAATGTTGACGATGCCGCGCACTTGTCGAACGTGCGTGCGAAGGGCCCGTTTCGAATATAAAAACTCTACCACGCGTTCCCCCGTCCACATCCACCTGGCGCTTCAACTCCTCCTCCATCTCGTGA